ATCTGATCACTCTCCCTACTCTGTCCCATTCTCAAATGCCCCTGACTGTCTCCACTCAAGCATTTAGTCATGGTGGCACCTGGGTCGCAGCAATAGTCATATCCTTTTGTGATGGTTTGCTTAATAGTTTTTTTTCCAGGCTCAAGTAGCCTAAATGTAGGTGCTGTTGGAATAAGCAAAATGCTTTTGCATTATGCCCAGAAATATTTGAGATGGAAATGCCTGTGAGCCAGAGCTTTTAATCTCTTACCTCCTCGTGTTTCCCTGTGCTCTTAACTCCACCAAGAAGGGACCTAGAGATTTGATATTCCCTTTGCTTATAGACTTGAAGAGAAGGTGATCTTGATATAAAGGTATTGTCTTTTGCAAGACAGGTAGGTCATTAGAAGAAATGGTCAGAACTCTGATCTAATTTTGTTCTGGAGTCCGCTTGGCACTCAGATCTGTTCACTCCCCAGCCTGTGACTTGACATCAAATTGACTACCAGAAGGATTCCAACTCCCAGAGTAAAGGGAGAACATGTGATGGATGACCCTTTTACTGTTTATAAGAATAATCCTGATACTTATATTTCACTTATTTTCTAAAGCCCTTCTGCATTTTTTGTCTTACTTCTCTCAGCAAAACCAGGCAAAGGGAAAGATGATTAAGTCTCAGAAGAGGCACAAAATGGCCTGAAGCTAAAGAGGGAAAAAGTTTAGGGTGGACATTTTGAAAGATGAACACTAAGAGCGATTAGGCAGTGGAATAGAAGTTCCTATTCCCGAAGAGAGCCGAGGAAAGGTGAGGTACAACATTTTTATTAATGAAGTAGAGCAAAGCCCTGAATAATAAAGGAATCTTGATCACAAGGAGAAGAGTATGAGGGTATCAACAGCCACCTGGCCATGTGCTTTTCCTCCCACTTCCTGGGCTAGTGTCTTTCAGAGGAAAGGCTTTTGGGAGGCATCAGGGAATCTAGACTGCAGTCTCTGGAAAGTAGGATACTTCTGTGAATTGTAAAGATGATTCTTCACTTATTCAACAATATATTTTAAAGTGCCTACTATATGGCAAGCATTGCATCTTCAAGAATGCAACTCCTTGAAGACAAGTGATTCTATATTGCAGGGGGAAAAAAAGTCCCTGAGAAATTTGGGTATATATTGCTGTTCCAGAATGAAAGACATAAAGAAGATGGATAAAAGATCTCAGAACCTCATAGTGCCTGGCAAAAGGCCTTTTCCTTCCCAGAGGAAGGCAGAGTATACAGATAATCTGCTTAGTGCATTGGGGTAGCATATGCATCTCCCTTCTTAAAATGCTGCCAGGTGGTACAGCTGGCACTCTCAGACAATTCTATAGTACTGGTATTCATTCCCCTCTGAGTACCTGGCACCTGTGTTCTCATCCCCTGTTCTTCTGCTAAGGCTCACTCTGAGAAGGTACACCAGCCAGGATGAAGGTGTTCTTTCTAATCTGTGCATGGTTTCTAATCTGTGCATGATGAGATAATGCAGGACCATACATCTTCCTTCTGGATGAGCACTGCAATTTGGCTCACAAGTTCCCCCAGTAGAGTCTTTCTCTTAACTCTTGGTACTTGACTAACATTTGCCTTTTTATTGCTTGCTGAATTTTTTTTGGGTCATAGCTCCACAACCTCTTTGTGGAATTAGTTCATCAGCATGGTGGTCTTAAACCCTGCCATGCCCAAGCTCACATACAATGTGCCTTGTTGGTGAATACAGGTACCCTGTGACAGCCAGGATGCACAGGGTACTTTGAAAGTGTATTTCAGAGGAAATGCCTGGAAACTGGCCCCCAAAGGATGAAGATGGGAGTGGGCATGGGTTATTTCAGGTGGAGGGAACCAAGTGAGAGAGCCTGAAAAGAAGGGTGGGCATGGAATTCTGTATGCCTGGTATGATAATCACAAAGGACCAACAGCCATTTGAAGAATTACTTTTGAGTTGGGGAGGAATAGTTCTAAGTACTTTTGTACTCTCCTAGCTGATTTTCCTAGTAGCCAACATTGGAGGATCTCAGCTGGAGTTAGGGGAAGAACTGTTGACCAGCCTGGGAATAAAATGATGTTAATGGAAACTAATCTTCCACTAATCCTCATTTCTGTGACTCAACCTTTTTCTCCCTTCTCTTTCAGTCACCTCTTGTTTCTTCCTGTTCCTTTTCTCTCTCCTACCTCAGAATGACAATTAGATAAAACAATTGACAAAATAGTTCATTGCATTTACTTTTATCTACAGTGGTTTGAGGATCGGAGCTGGAGCATGATTCCCCAGGGAAACATGAATGCAAATCATTTGAAAATTAGATTTGTCAAGGAAAAGAAGAATTAAGAGACAAGAAGTTAAATTTTTTTCTGTTGAAAATAAGAAATTGCCTTCCCTTAAAAAAATCTGAGCATTTACTTTTGAAAACTTGTGAATGTAGCCACTTTCTCTGCCTTTTTGAAATGTCTCTTTTAGAAACTAAGCCTTTTGTCAGCTTGATGACCTAAGGACCCCAGAACCATCTCTTGCATATATAACACCAGGGAGTCAGCATCTCTATTTTACTTTTTCTCTAGTGTATTAGAAGCATAATTTTAGTGCTTGCTATAAGAGATTCTCCCTCTCGAATTAAAGGCCTCCCTGCCCCATTTAGCCAAGAGATTTCTCCTCAATTACCAGGTAAATTTAGCATAATTCATGGGTGATCCATGGTGCTGTTCAGTCTTCTTACTTGAGTACTAATTATTGTTTATCTGAAAACATCTGTAAAATGAATTGTATTGGATTTCTTTAAATTTCTTGGCATATTATCTGTGATGTATGTGTCAAGAATTCAGGCTTAGCATTTATTTATTTTTTGATTAATACATTTTTACTAGAAAGAAGGGTCATAATTTGTGCAATTAAAAGAACATTCATTTTGTTTTCAAAAGTTAGTATTTCTTGCCCCATAATGTTTGTTCAACAAGCATTTTTAAATGCAGAATAATGCTAAGACAATAAGAATTTATATCAGAAAGTAACAGGTTTCCTGGCCTAGTGTTGATTAAGATACCAAACTGCTTTTTGTATTCAACTACATTTGCAGAAATAATTACCCCTATAGATCTTGAAGAGAGAAAATTTTATTTTTCTTTTCTTGGGAATTTGTATGAGAACTTAGTACTATGAAAAATGAAACAGCTAACACTCTAGTTCTCAGTAGATGCGTGATATGAGTTATATTTGGCAGATGGAAAACCAGCCCTTTGAAATTTTCCCAGGTGGACCAAACACTGTTTGCTTTCAGAAGTTCTCAGCGAGGCTTTCATTTTAAATTCATAAAAGTTATCAACCAACTTCCAACAATTGTTTAATAAAAAGCAATTAGCCAGCCAGAAGTATAATGGCTTTTATGTCAAAATATGGTGGAGACAGCTGCTAAGCGGGCCACAGATGGCCCCCAGGCCATATGCTGTGAGTCCCAGGCATATGTGCAGCCAGGCACAACAGCACAGAGCATATTGGGAGTAATAAACCCAACTCCCCAATTTTCTTCCTCTCCCTTACCTAATCTCCCCACTCCAGAGAAACCGACAGGAAGAAATTCTCTGGCGTCAACTGCCATAGTCAAGATACACAACTCAGTTATTAGGCAAGGATCTTATGTGGCAATAGATGTGCAAGGCACTGGTTCCAGCCTGCTTGGATAAATTCCATGCAAACCTTATTGCATTACAGAAAACCCATTAAAAAAAAAGTTCTCCACAAAAAGCAACAGCATCAAATCTTAATGTAACAGTACTCATGAAGAACTCAAACTCTGAATATAGACGCTTATCTCTTAGCTCTTTCCAATTTCATTTTTGTGTGGGAGATGTTTCTAGAGTTTCCTATTCCTTAGAGTTTTATGCTCCACAGGGTTCTGGCTCTGCTGTTCATTGCTCCCTCTTGTTCCCTAGGAGGTATTCTGGTGCCGGAGATACTGCAGATGGACCCACGCATCTGTTTTTAGAAATACAAGTCTAGATACATGATTATTTTAATCAGGGGGTGTGGAGGAAAAGGAAACTCCTGGAATATTTTTTGCTATCAAGAAAGGACATATTTTTGTCAAAGGCATGTCAATCTGGCGATAGATGTGCAAAATGCAAGCAAAGCAGCTTTGGTAGACGGAGAGCCTTTCTGTCTCAGAGGATGCAGTACTTCCTAAACATTCTGAAGCCATCTTTTAGAGCACTCATGTTGCCTGACTCTTCAAGGACTGGTCCTAGAGATGGAGTTTTATGCTTTCTGGCCACAATAGAGTGTCAGAAAAACCCAATTTTACAGTTAAGAAAACTGTAAAACAGTTGTGATTTTTAAAATTTTATTTAAAAATTTTATTTTTCATTTTACATACTAACCCCAGTTCCCCCTTCCTCCCCCTCTCCTGCTCTACAGTCCCCCCTCCCCCCTCCATGTCCACTCCTTATAGGGGGGGTAAGGCCTTACTTGGGGAGTCAACAAAGTCTGGCATTCCAAGTCGAGTCAGGGCCAAGCTCCTCCTTCTGTATTAAGGCTGAGCAAGGTTCCCATCATAGGGAATCGACTGGATAACCAGGCACAATTCACAACTCCAGAAAAGCTAGGTATAAAGGGGGGGCCTAAGAGGGACACACATGGAGGGTCCCAGGAAGGGAAAATAATTAAGATCTCCCAGGCACACTGGGAGAGGGGTAGATGAGCAGGGATGGGGGATGAGTTGTGATTTTTGAGGCTAACAGGTTCTTCTCTCATAGACACACTCTATAGCACAGCACGCACATAAACAACCCTGGATGACTCTTGGAAAAGGAATCCCAGGAATCTCTAGATTCCTAAATTTCATGTCTTTCTTCCATCTTCTCACAAGAGCTTCTTCAGCAGAGGTATGATGAAGGCGTCTGTTGGGGTCCTTCAAGACAATCCCTACTTCACATCATCTGCTGGAAGGACTTACTGGACCTACAATACATGGCACTCATGGTAATTAATTTGTTATACAGAAAGGACACGTAGAAAAGGAGCACCACCGCCTTTGCCGCCGCGACGGTCTGGGCCGCGGTGGCCCAGGGACTTTGAATATGTGGGGGATTGCCCTCAGCCGACTTGCCCAGGAAAGGAAAGCTTGGAGGAAGGACCACCCTTTTGACTTTGTGGCTGTCCCAACAAAGAACCCTGATGGCACGATGAACCTGATGAATTGTGAGTGCGCTATCCCTGGAAAGAAGGGGACTCCATGGCAAGGAGGCTTGTTCAAACTACAGATGCTCTTCAATGATAACTATCTGTCCTCACCACCAAAATGTAAATTTGAGCCACCACTGTTTCACCCAAATATGTATCCTTCTGGCACAGTGTGCCTGTTCATCCTGGAGGAAGACAAGGACTGGAGGCCAGCTATCACGATCAAACAGATCTTATTAGGAATACAAGAGCTTCTAAATGAACCAAATATTCAAGACCCAGCTCAAGCAGGGGCCTACACAACTGACTGCCAAAACAGAGTGGAATATGAGAAAAAGGTTTGAGCACAAGCGAAGAAGTTTGCTCCCTCATAAGCAGTGGCACTATGGCTCCATGACGAGGAAGGGATTGGCTTGGCAAGAACCTGTTTACAACCTTTTGCAGATCTAAGTCGCTGTGTACAATTACCAGTCGCCTGGGAGGGTTGAGCAGTCACCATTTTCTATTTCCGCCACTGGCATTTACAGTTTCAATTCGCTGAATTGCTCCAGTTTTTCATACAGGGTCTATTCCTTCAGTCTTTTGTATTTTTGATTGTTATATAATACTTGCTTTGATTTTAATATTGATGTCAGTATTTCAACTGCTGTAAAATGATAAACTTTTGTACATGGTAAGCCCCTAGGAGCTAGTTTCTTCACGCTCAGATGCAGGCATGCTTCCCACTCTTCTCTGGCCTCCAGCTGGCTGTATGACAGATCCACACTGTCCCTCTCTCCCCAATCTCGTCCTCCTCAGAAACCTGGGCTGTTGTTTATGAGCCTCAGATCCAAAGTTGGCCAGCGTCTCCATTCTGCACCTCTTCCTTTGTGTTTATATGGCGTTTTGTCTGTGTTGCTGTTTTGAGTAAATAAACTGTTTATATAAAGGTAAAAAGAAAGGACATGTAGCTAAATCAGCAAAGGAAGCAGGGTGTGGGTGGAGTCTGGGGAAGACTAGACACATATCTCCCCAGGGTAGTCATATAGTTTGTATCTAATTCTCATGGTGTAGAGTCATGGCAATACTGGTAAGGCTTCTACCAAGGAAGTCTGAGGCTCCTCATTTGAGTACCCTCTGCCTGGGTGAGTGCCAGAGTTTCACACTGCAGCACATGTATCCAGAAAAAGCTGTGCTGTGTGCACATGCTGCAGGCATAGCGAAGTTATTCTTGTTAATTTGTGGAATGATGGTGACCATCCTGAGATCCAAATCTTAGATGCCAGTTGATGGCCACCTTGTGAATGCACCTTCCTAACAAGAGCTGTCCTCTCCACCACATGCCATGGGCCCTGTGAATTCTTCTACATGAGAGTTATAAGCTGATTATCATAGCCACTCTTTTCTCCTATTTAATCTTTTTGCATTGAACTGTGAGGGATTTTGTTGATGGCCCTAGGAAGTGTAGATAGATTTATGAGCAGTGAGAGACACAGTCTGAACCATTGATGTAAATGCTGAATAGTGAAGACTGTACGACAGGCAGCACAGTGAAGATTGAAAGCAGAGGTTTTAGAGTTTGGACATCTGAATCTGAATCCTACTTCATATTTCTATATTTCTGTAATATGCACGATTACAATTTCTAACCTTTCATGTTCATGCCTTGTAGATAATCTACCAAGTATGTAATTCATACACATAGGTATTGAGTAAATTTCTTGGAAAGTAGGATAATTTAGATTTCATGAGGATGCCATGTGATAGACTTATGGGTATGTAAATTTGTAAGTGAGTCAAAAATGAAATATTATTGGATGTAGAATCTCATATTCTGACTTTGGTGCTGGGATTTTTATCTTTCTTTTCCTTCCATCCTTCTTTCCTTTCTTCCTCCCTCTCTCCTTCACTCCTTCCCCCTTCTCTCTCTTTCTTTTTTTATAGAAATGTGTTGTTTTATTATAAAGTCTCACAAAATGGAATATCTCAAAAAGGAAGCTAGGCTAACCCCTCCACCTGCAGAGTTGGGGGAAGACAGGGCAATGGGAGTTTTTCTGCTTGCCTGAGTCCAGTGGGAAGGTATAAACAGAACCAATCTAAAAATGGCTGATAATACCTAAGCCTGAAAATAAGGGGGTCCCAGAAGACCCAGTTACCCCTTCTAGAAAGCTTAACAAGGGCATCGTAACAGAGTTCCTAAAGCAGGCACTTGGCAGTTCAGGATTTTGTCTTCCAGTTGTTTTCTTTCCACCCTACATGTTTCGAAACTAAGACCTGAGCAGGATGGACAATGTGGCTTTGGGAAAAGTTCCCCCAGCACCACTATACTGGGCTCTGGTCCCTGGTTCCTATCTAGTCCCTGGGGACATTATATTTAATATACTTTATATAAATACACAGAAGAATAGAAAATATAAAATCTGAGATGGGGGAGAAGTGGGGAACTTGGGGAGAGGCCACAGCCGTAGGTCTTGCTCAGGCTAGCTTGACCTCTTCTTTCACCCCTTTGGCTTCTGGCTTCTCCTCCTTGGTCTTCTCATCTTCGGTGACTTTTTTTTTTTCTCTTCTGGATCTTTTTCTTTTTCATCCTCTGTTTTGACTCTTTTGGCTTTTTTGAAATTAGAAGAGTTCTTGCGACCACCTTCTCCCTCTTCATCTGAATCAGAGAATTCTTCCTCACAGGCAATTCATTTGTCAGAAGAACAGATGGAGATGCGTTTGTCAGGATCTTCTTCATCCTCATCACCACTCTCCTCTGGGATGGCATCCTCAGGTATTGCCTGCATTTGGATGCCAGGTGCATGGGGCAGCATTCTCAAGTTCTCAAAGAGCCTCTGCTTGATTTTCTCCAGGTATTCTTTAGTGTTCTGGTTGGTCATATTGGAAGGGCTGATGGGAAGCTTGAAGTCCGGTCCAAAGTATTCAAAGTAGTCATTGTATGGTAGCTCATTAGGGATCTCCATGTCCAGGGCCACAGCTGTTTCCTAAGTCCAGCACTGAGCAACATTATGGATGGTATAGCCACCTCCTCCCAACATTAGCATAGGCAAGTTGAAACTCTTGACAAACTCCACACACTTGGCATGCCCCTTGATGGTCAGATTGAAGCAACCTAACCGGTCTCCAGATAGGGAATCTGAGCCACACTGTAAGACTACTGCACTAGGCTGGAACATCTCCATCACTTTGAACATGACTGGCTTGAAAATGGCTTCATAGGAGTCGTCATCAATCCCATCGTGGGGAGGGTAGTTAACAGCATAGTACTTGCCTTTGCCAGCCCCAATATCTAGAAGGTCCCCAGTTCCTGGGAAGTACTCTCCATATTTATGAAAGGACACAGTCATGACCTGGTCTGTGGTATAGAAGGCCTCTTCCACACCATGGCCATGATGAATATCAATGTCAAAATACAGCACCCTCTGGTGATACTTTAGCAATTCCAGGATGGCCAAGATGATATCATTGATGTAACAGAAACCAGATGCTTCAGACTTCTTTGCATGATGCAGACCCCCAGCCCAGTTCACAGCAATGTCTGTCTGCTGCTTATTAAGTTTCACAGCACTTGCCACAGAGCCACCAGTAGACAGCTGACAGAACTCAAACAAGCCATCAAATACTGGACAGTCCTCACCAACATTGAATCTCTGCATCTGCTTGCTGTACTCAGACATATTATCTGGGCAAATGGAATGCAAGAACTTAATGTAGTCATCACTATGGTACTTGGTCATCACCGCAGCATTGGCTTAGTGAGGACGATAGATTTCCATTTTTTCGGTAGAGACCATAGTTGAGCAGCAAATTGTGAGTCATGTGGATTTGGTGAGGCTTCATTGGGTGGCCTTGTCCATAATAGTAGTTTCCAACATCACTGTCGTAGTAATAACAGACTTTTCCCTCTCTTTCTTGTTTTTTGAAGACAGTGTTTCTCTGTGTAGCCTTAGCTGTCTTGGAACTCACTCTGTAGACCAGGGTGGCCTTGAACTCAGAGTTCTGTCTGCCTCTGCCTTCCGACTGCCAGGTTGTGGCATTTTCTTTCATCCCATGCTTTCTACAGATAAGTCTACCCACAGTATATGCATGAGTGTAGTTTTATACTTAAACCTTTTTTTTTGAGAATTTCATACACAAATACTGTATTTACATCCTCTCTCCTCCCTCTTTCCAATTCCCCCTCCTCATACCCCTTCAAATTATTGACCACTTTTTCTTCAATTATTATTGTTATAAACATGTGTGAGTGCAGAAACATGTGAGTTCAATTAGTGTTGGTCATATGTCTGTATGTTTGGGGTTAATCACATGGGTTTGCATACCCTATCAGGGGGCTTGTTTCTGGAAAAGACTGATTCTCCCTCTCTCAGCAGCCAACAGTTGTCTGTAACTCTTATCTGTGGGTGGTGCTGTGTGAGGTTTCCCCTATCCACATTGGTGTATCAACTGCAGGTCTAGTTTGGGCCACCACATTGTCAAAATTTCACGGGTACACCTCCCTGCCATCTGTTGAAGACACTATCTTGACCCTGACACCCTGGTTCTCTGGCTCTTGCAGTCATTTGGCCTTCTCTTCTATGTTGATCTCTGAACCTTAGGTTCAGGGGTTGCATTATAAATGTTGCATTATAAACCACATGGTCTGTTGTTCTCTGCCTTTGAATCAGTTGCATCTCTCTGTAATGCTCCCCATCTGCTGCAAAAGAAGCTTCTTTGATGAGAAGTGAGAGCTACGCTTATCTGTGGGTATAAGAATACATGTTTAGAATGTAGTATGAATGATACAAGAATATCATTTAGGCAGTCTGTGCTTTTAATCAGGTGTGTGATGTAATGGAGTAAGAAGAGATTTCCAATAAGGCAATGAACGGACCCTTTCAGTCCCAGAGACTTCCCTAGAATTACAAGCAAGTTACAAACAGCATTAATGTGTTACCTGTGCATTTGAACTCTTGTTGTCTTTGCTTTTCGAATCCTTATGTTTTCAGATTGCTGTCTCCTGAGTCACACATGGAGTAGATCTGTATTCTTAGGGAAGGAAATCTTCCTTAGTTGCTCTGTTCTGTTCTTCAAATAGTTTGATTTGCTTTTCTTTTCAGACCTAAGGGGGTCTCATCTTCCTTGCTTACCCCCTGCTACAAAGTCTTTAATTCTTTTAGCCCATTTTAGGATTTATTCAAGTCTCTATTTTATTTTGTACTAAAGCATGAAAACCAAAACAAAATACTTTCTCTGTGGTTGCTGTGATGTTTTCTTCATTTTCTGGCAGTTGAATTTAACTCGTTTTTAGGAAGGCCAGACATATTTCTCAGGCACCTAAATATTTGTCCTGTTTTCAGATCTCTGCTTCTGTCATATTCAGACACACAGATCTGTAAACATAGAGTTTTGAGTGCTGGTGTTTTTATGTTAGGTCAGTGTGTAGATATTCTAGTCCTAATGACTGGTCCTAATCCTACCATAATCATGTAGCACCCTGGACACTGTCAGTTTAATATCTGTTCTCAATTTCCTTATCTATAAATCTGGGAAAAATACTATTTATTTTATTATTAAGTATGACATTTTGGCATGCTTAAAGCAGTATCTGACACTGTTACATATGGAAAAAGAATGTTATGCCACATTTCAGTGGATCTTAGGTTATAAAGAATTGCCTTGAGCTGTGCCTTCCTTGGTCATTCTTATATTTTTGGTTGTGAGCCTAGCCTTTAATGGCTGAGCCATCTCTCCAGCCCCATTCTTATACTAACTGGAAGGCACTGCAACACTGACTCTCTTCTTACTGATTTATCTTTGTTATCTGTATCCTGGATTCCTTTGGCAGAAGTCTGGGTTATTCTAGGTTATAAATAGAAATGTGAATTTCTATGGGAAGTAGGCAGCATCAGCTTATGATTAACCAAAAAATCATGACTACAAATCTCTTACAAATGCTACAATACTTTTCCCCTTTCTAGTATTACTGACATTCTGCACTCATTCCTGTCTCCAAATAAGGTAGTCAAGGCCAATACACTTGTGAGTGGGTAATCATTTCCATGTGACCCTAAGGAAAAAAACATTGCTGGCTGAGGAACTCTGAAGACTATCACACACCAATGGACAGCTAAACAAACATACTTCGCAGGTAACCTCTCTTGAAACAAGAAAATAAAAACAAAGTATCTGGCACATAGTAGGCAATCAGAAAAGGTAGTTCTTTTTTTCTCCATTTTTTTTTAAATTAGAAACAAGATTGTTTTACATGTCAATCCCAGTTCCCTCTCGCTCCCCTCCTCCTGTGCCCAGACATTTAACACCCTACCTATCCCATACCATACTCTGCTCCCCAGGGAGAGTGAGGCCTTCCATGGGGGGGGGTCACCAGAGTCTGTCATATCCTTTGGGATAGGGCCTAGGCCAACCCTCTTGTATCTAGGCTAAGGGAGTATCCCTTTATGTGAAATGGGCTCCCAAAGTCCATTCCTATGCTAGGATCTACTCCAAGAGGCCCCATAGATTTCTGAGGCCTCCTTACTGACACCCACTTTCATGGGGTCTGGGTCAGTTCCATGCTGGTTTCCCAGTGATCAACTGAATTGGTACAGGAGACAGCTTCCTGAACATAACACCTGTATCATAGACACTGAAATCTACAATTAATAAATGGGACCTTCTGAAACTGAGAAGATTCTGCAAGGCAAAGGATACAGTCAGCAAGACAAAATGGCAGCCCACAGAATGGGAAAAGATATTCACCAACCCCACATCCGATAGAGGGCTCATCTCCAAAATTTACAAAGAACTCAAGAAGCTAGTTTCCAAAAACACCAAACAAGCCAATTAAAAAGTGGGGTACAGAACCAAATAGACAATTCTCAATAGAGGAATCTAAAATGGCTGAAAGATACATAAGAAAGTATTCAACATCTTTAGCCATCAGGGAAATACAAATCAAAAAAACTCTGAGATACCATCTTACTCCATTAGTCAGAATGGCTAAAATCAAAAACACCAATGATAACTTATGCTGAAGAGGATGTGGAGAAAGGGGAACACTCCTCCACTGCTGGTGGGAGTGCAAACTTGTCCAGCCACTTTGGAAATCAGTATAGCGATTTCGAAGGATAATGGGAATCAGTCTACCACAAGATCCAGCAATTCCACTCTTAGGCATATACCCAAAAGAAGCACATTCATACAACAAGGACATCTGTTCAACTATGTTCATAGCAGCATTATTTGTAATAGCCAGAACCTGGAAGCAACCTAGATGTCCCTCAACTGGAGAATAGATAGAGAATATGTGGTATATTTACACAATGGAATACTACTCAGTGGGGGGGGGAGAGGAAGGGCAATGGAATCTTGAAATTCACAGGCAAATGGATGGGAATAGAAGAAACCATTCTGAGTGAGGTAACCCAGTCACAAAAAGACATACATGGTATGTACTCACTCATATATGGATTTTACACATAGAACAAAGGATTACCAGCCTAAAATTGACACCACTAGGTAAGCTAGGCAACAAGGAAGACTCTAAGAGAGAAATACATGTTCCCCTGGAGAAGGGGAAAGGGAAAAGATCTCCTGAACAAATTGGGAGCATGGGGGGAGGGCAGAGGGAGCTAGGAGAATGAGAAGGGGAGAAGAGGACATAAGAGAGCAAGAAGTTTGTGTAGGGGGAAGAATAGAGGAGATCAAAATAAGAGATACCATCAGAGAAGAAGCCAGTACAGGTTTAAAGAGAAATCTGGCACTAGGGAAATGTCCAGTGATCTACAAGGATGGCACCAACTAACCATCTAAGCAATAGTGGAGAGGCTACCTTAAATGCCCTCCCCTGATAATGAGATTGATGACTAAC